TATCTGTGCTGGTGCGTGGTGCGTGCGTTTATACGTGTGTGTTTGTCTTGTGCGTGCATGCGTACGTGCGTGTACACGTGTGCGTCTGTGTGTGTGTGCGACGTGCGTGTATACGTGTGTGTGCCTGTCTGTGTGCGTGCGTGCATGCGCACGAGCGTGCGTGTGTGTATACGTGGTGTGCTGCCTGTTTGTGTGCGTGCATGTGTGCGTGCGTGCGTGCGTACGTACGAGCGTGCGTGTGCGTGCGTGCGTGTATACCTGTGTGTGCCTATCTGTGTGCTTGCGGGCGCTGCATGCGTGTATACAACCATGGTTGCTTGCTGTGTGTGCGTGCATGCGTGTATACGTGTGGTGCGCCTGGCTTGTCTGGTGTGCGTGAAGAGCGCGCGTGTATTTACTTTCATTAACCTATATTAACTCGGCGCGCCGCGCCGCCGCCGCCCGCCGCCGCTTCCCAGCACCTGCCGACCGACGCTGAGGTGAACGCACGCCGCTGACCTCCTCGTTACGCGTATAGATGCCGCCTGCTGCGCTCCTTTCGTGAAAGGGTCTCACGAGATGATAGTGAAGAGCCTCACAGCTAGCGAGCAGGCGATCGATGACGAGCGGATTTAGACTGGCTCGACGTCGTAGCGCGCGCTGTGCAGGTGACGCTCGCTGCTACTGACTATAAGTATGCGCATGCAATAACCAACCATGATATAACCAAATATGAGTATGCGCATTTTAAAGGAGTAATGAGTGCGGGGGTCGGGCCGCGCGGGCAATTAGAATTGACACACTCGTTATCAATTAATTCCCGATGTAGCCATCAATTTTATTTGTGTTTTACCCCAACCCTCTCTCTTCCTCGCTCTCTCTCTGTCTCTCTCGCGCGCGTTCACTTTTTCTATTACACACACGCGCGCGCACGCACACACGGCACGCACGCACGCATGCACCGCACGCACGCACGACACAGCACGGCACGCACACACACACACACACACAATATATGCTCTCGCTCCCCAGCCCCGTCTCACTCTCTCTCTTCTCTCGCTCCCCAGCCCCGTCTCACTCTCTCTCTCTCTCTCTCTCTCTCTCTCTCTCTCTCTCTCTCTCTCTCGTCTCTCTCTCTCTCTCTCTCTGCTCGCCTACTCTCTTCTCTCTCTTCTCTCTCTGCTCTTCTCTCTCTCAATCTCTCATCTCTCTCTCTCCTCTCTCTCTCTCTCTCTCTCCGCTCGCTTCACGCACTCTTCTTCTCTCTATCATTTCGCCAGTCACCTTTCTCACTCTATTTCATTCAGAACGCTGCTAATCCATGTGTCGACTACATTCGTTTGATAAGCCCGTCCCATGATCGTTATAGACATTGATTTACACTCGACACTATCCGACATCGAGATCCTGACAGCGGTGCCAGTACAACGCATCTGCATTGAAACGACGGAGAGTCGTTGTCTAGAGAGCAGTTCGGGTGGCGGGGTGCCATCATAATTCATTATTACCCGATCGCGCAGTCATGTAGCATCGCGTGCAGTTTGTTCTCCCGAATACTACTGAAAGAGACAGCCGTCAAATTAACAGTCTAGCAAAGTAGCCAGTAATTTTTAGAGAAAAAAACGAAGAAGAAGAATATATACGCCGAACCGATGATCACCTGCATACGAGTGCCAGCGATGACTCTCGGGTGTTTGTGGGCGCACGCCGTACGCGTGACGAAGTCGCCGGCAGTCTAACCTCGGATCAATAGTGCGCTATACTGACGGGGAGCAATGATCTGTCGGCTCCGGCAAATTTTATAAAAAAAAAGTACCGCGAGCTTGGTCATGTAGCGGAAACTAGGTCAAACCTGTTTACGCTTCTCTTGCCCGCTAGCTAGCAAGCGCGATGATTTCACGGGCTTCTTGTATCTACCTACGTATTGCAGCTCCAACCTTGAACCTGAGCATACTGGTAACAATAAACATAACTATAACCGTAACCTTAACCCTACCTTGGCTCTAGGTCTATAGTCATAGCCCAAACCTTTATTATAATCCTACCTTAACCCTAGCTCTAGAACTATAGCCCTCCGCTCCGCCGCAGAGACCCCTAAATAAAGGGGGTAGTGTCCCTGCGGCGGGAGCGGAGGGCATATTAGTTCTTAGAGCTCCCTTTAACCCTAACCGTGGACTCTTAACCTAACCCTGACTCTAACCTATTTTGGCTCTAGGTCTAGCTCATAGACCAACCTTTATTATAACCTACTTTACCTGATTACTAACCCTATCCTTGGCTCTAGGTCTAGTCATAGCACAACCTTTATTATAAAACCCTACTTAACCCTTAACCCTGCTCTAACCCTATCTTGGTCTAGGTCTATTATAGCCCACAAACCTTTCATTATAACCCTACCTTAACCCTAAACCCTCGACTCTAACCCTATCTTTGGCTCATAGGTCTAGTCATAGACACAACCTTTATATATACCCTACCTTAACCCTAACCCTGACTCTAACTCCTATCCTTGGCTCTACGTCTAGTCATACACAAACCTTTTATTATAACCCTACGGCTTAACCCTACCCTGACCTTTTAAACCCTATCTTTGGCTCTTACGGGTCTAGTCATAGACCAAACCCTTTATTATAACCCTACCTTAACCCTAACCCTGACTCTAACCTATCTTAGGCTCTAGGTCTAGTATAGCCACAAACCTTTTATTATAACCTACCTTTAACCCTTGGCTCTAAACCCTATCTTGGCTTAGGTTAGTCATAGCACAAACCTTTGATTATAAACTACCTTAACCCTAACCCTGACTCTAACCCTATCTTTGCGCTCTATGATCTAGTCATAGCACAAACCCGTTTGGTCTATTAACCCTACCTTAACCTGACTCTAACCCTATCTGTGGCCTCTAGGTCTCAGTTCATAGCACCAAACCTTTATTATTAACCCTACTTAACCTAACGCCTGACTCTAACCCTATCTTGGCTCTAGGTCTAGTCATAGACCAAACCTTTATTATAACCCTACCTTAACCCTGACTCTAACCCTATCTTGGCTCTAGGTCTAGTCATAGAACAAACCTTTATTATAACCCTACCTTAACCCTGACTCTAACCCTATCTTGGCTCTAGGTCTAGTCATAGCACAAACCTTTATTATAACCCTACCTTAACCCTGACTCTAACCCTATCTTGGTTCTAGGTCTAGTCATAGCACAAACCTTTATTATAACCCTACCTTAACCCTAACCCTGACTCTAACCCTATCTTGGCTCTAGGTCTAGTCATAGCCCAAACCTTTATTATAACCCTACCTTAACCCTAACCCTGACTCTAACCCTATCTTGGTTCTAGGTCTAGTCATAGCCCAAACCTTTATTATAACCCTACCTTAACCCTAACCCTGACCCAAACTCTAACCATTGCCTTAATCCTAACCTATCACTGACACATTATCATGACTCCACCTTGACCTAATCTAAGCATAACGGAAGCTCTGTTCATAATCAAAATATACTTGTTCATGTCTAAATCATGAGCGTAATTTTAACCCCACTTCGAATCAAGCAATGTGAACATAATTTTAACTTTAGCCCTATAATAATTTTAAAAACATGATCCTAACACTCATAACTTAAACTATAAATACCATATTCCTACCTCAGCCCGAGTCCTGCCCTCATCTCAACGCTACCTCGAACCTACCGCACGCATACCGATAAGGTTCACAATCGATCAACACTTAGAATCACGAATGAAATAATGGGTTAGTGTCTAAACGGTCCCGAAACTTTATTTCTCTTTATAACAATTAGTGTGTATATCGACAGGTGAAATGGTATTGTAGTGTAGCTGTATGGAGATAAGAGTGTACCTAATATGACCGGGAAAACACAGACGCGATAGGTCTAGGAGCAATGTCCAGCCAATGTTATTCTGGTAAGAAGAGATGGTAATTGTTTAGCGTGACGGCCGGTGCTAGGTGCGGGGATAATAAAGTCAGAACTAATAATGAAAGGCGCAGAAGATAAGAACATACGAAGGTAGGACGGAGATAGAAACACATCAGTGCAGTGCACACATGTATGTTTAGATTGACTATCGGCACGGCGCCTATACTAAAAACTACAAAAAACACTCTCATACAATAATTAGTGGTAAGGGGATACGAGATCTGTAGTCGATACCTCTCGTATGCCAGCGATTATGCTTAGCATGCAGTCATTGCGAGTCAGCTTAGCATGCGAAGGAGAAGAAAGGTGTCGCACCGTGACGCCAACGACTAGACAAAAAACTGCGAAGACGAAGATGGTGGCTGCGAAAAAGCTGACGGAAGAGGAAGTAGACAGCATGAGATGGAGGAAAACAAAAGGGAAACAGGCGAAGAAGAAAGAGCCGACCACATGAGGCGAAACAGAGCAGAAAGAGGCGAAGGTATAACTAAAAGATAAGAGAGAAGAAACCGCAGGAAGCGGGGAAGACCAGAAGTCATCAAATCCGAAATCCATGAAGACAGTAGAGATACCGGATATGACGCGGCGATAAATGGTTCCGAACTTCTATTTCATGTGTATAATGAACAGTTTACACAGCGTAAAACTCAAGTGACACGCACAAGTATACGCTAACTAGCCGTAACTGTCATGAGACCTTTATAGATTCATAGTACCTGTTCCTCTACAACAAGGAGACTGATTAGCACGCGCCATCTATCGGCTATACTTGACATATCGGAGAAATATAGCCTTATTACCACAGACTAACGGTTATTACTGACTCGATAGTGCCGACACCTCTCGGCGATAGTTGACATATTCTGTCCATAATGTGTAATTTAGTTCTATTAATCGTTGGCCACATCTGGGATGAGCCAGGTCGTGGCTGGAGCCTCTTGGTGGGTGGGTGGGGGTGGGGGATATAGCAGCAAGCAAGTACACTGTATATTTTTGCGCAAAAAATGGAAAAAAAAATCTCCGGCTCGGATAATAATAAATTACAAAAGTAGTACAAAATTACAAACAACTGTAGTTTTTGTTACAAACATTATTTTCACATAACCCCTTTCACAATACATACAGAACAACATGCAGCTAGAGGGTCAGCTAACAAACACGCATGCACAAACACGCACGCACACACAGTCACACACGCACGCACACGCACAGTCACACGCCCACGCACGCACACACACACACACACAGGCACAGACATCCAAATTTAAACAAGGTCATTACTAGGTGAATGTGCAGCATATAGCTATTTGCAATAAAAATATTAGTACACACCGGGGGAAAAAAGACAACAATACAAATTCACCCTATTAATTAAACGTGTAAACACTGATATGAAAATGAAAGTTATTTCTTATAAAAATTCAACATCTAATTCTCGGGTTCACCACATAGAATATCTCCAACCATATCCAACTGTGCTGGCTTATGTTGATTTACTTTCATGCCTACGTACACTATTAAAACAAAGTCTCAAAAGTTGTAGAACATCGTGTTAAAACTATTATCTAATTAATTTACCGTTATTATTACAGAAAGACGTATAAATACCGAGTTCACACATGCATGCATGTATATCATAGACACGGACTTCTTTTACCCAATTTACATAATTAGGTACGAAAGTAATGGCATATAACCACATCAAAACTTCGTCCCCATTTGTTCCCAACCAAAACAACCTGTAATTTCATGCTGCCATATCAGGTTTGCTATCTACCATGGTCTGATAACACACAGGACAGGTAGGAAAAATGCCCACACTTGAGATCAAAGTTTTGACCGATAAACGTCATTAATTCGTCATTGCAATTGTCGCAGTAAATCATCCAGCAATGCAGTAAAACAAGTGCAATGCAGAATAACCTACTGCACGATGTGACAATAACCAAGCTTGACCATCAATAGTATCAGGGGTGAATAATGACAAATTTGTCATTTATTTTCACTCTTGATATTATCAATGTTCTCACGTCTCGACATACCTAGACCCGATTCGGTACCAACATTCAACCTCGGCTGTATAACTGCAGTTGCCATAACTGCACACATTTGCAATAGTCATGCTGGAACCAAATAACATTGTGAGAACTCACTACTCTGGGAATAACATTAGCAAAACCATAACGTTAAGTCCAGTTCAATTTAGAGTGTATCTGTCAGAAGATCACTATCACAAAGACTACATTAGAAATTGCGGCCAAATTCAGGCGGATCACAAAATGTAAGGCATACAAGCATATCAACCTACGCGACACAGACAACCTTTGCCGCAAGTAGTGAAGCGGCCCAACCGTGACAATTGGTAAAATCAATTCAATTCTACGAACGACGCACCCTACCGATTCGCATTCCTATCGGTGAACAACAACGACGGCCCCGCGTGTGAATTGTATCCGCGTGACCTCGCTTCCGGCTCGCAGCAGCTAGACGGTGAGCTTCGGGATGCTGGTGGACGGGTTGCTCTCCATGTTCTGAATGACGAGGAACACGAGCGCTGCCACGACGACGAGGATGAGAAGCTGCACCCACGGCGACAGCCACGACGCGCGCGGCTGCTGCGTCGCCACGGTGCGCGCGGGAGTGCTGGGTGTCGTCAACGTCGCCCACGACCGACTAGTCTTCTCCACGGGCCTGTAGGTGGCACCACTGGACGAGTCGGTCGCATACGTGCGTTTTTTGTAGGTTGTCGACGTGGTCTTCGCACCACTGCAACACGAGCATGCTACACGTTAGAGTCGCTAATGATGTCTACAGCCATGCCACTTCGCACATTTCCTAACCCACGCATCATGTAATCTATCTACTATCTTATCTCATAAACTGATCACCTTTCCAACACTACACCTTCTTCAAGGCTGTAGTGTTCTCTATCAACAGTGAAAACCAAGCGCGCCGTCACTGAGATTGTGATGGAACTTACGGCATTATAATAACAACTAGTACATTCGTGGGAAACGCACGCACCTCCAGCTGGTTGCCTCCTGGATCTGCAAACTATGACCCATCGAAGCGAGTGACCGGCGAGTTAAGCGAGGCATAGACGTTGCCACGGCAACACGCTTCGGAGAATCCCCGACACCGTCGACAGTTCTTCTTCGAAAGTTTCGACTTCTGATAAAAATGAGATAGAGGGTCACTTCACATCACAAGCTTAAGCGTCAGGAGTAACTTTATTTTAAAATAAATCCAAATATATCGACATATTAGCAACAGTGTCAACAACCACCCTAGCTGGATACTGTCATTACCTGGACAATATATTTGCATTTATCTTAAAAATTTCTTTTAACACACTATCATGAAATCGAATGCTAACGGACACACGATGATTAATAATCTGACAAATCGCTTTTTCAAAAATTGAGTAATTTTTGCCAATGCTAGCAAGGTATTCAGAGAGGTGATTTATTAAGCTGGCACAACTACTCATCCTTTGGGGTCCTGTGTAGCACCTCATAAAACAAGCTGCCCAACTCCATGCCATATCTCTCCTGTCTGGCAAAACTGAATCACGATGATACTCACGGAGCCTCCTGCACTTCTTCTGGCTCCTCCTCTGCCTCCTCTTCTGCATCATCCTCATCATCATAATCATTTTCCTCTGCCTGGAGAGACTGATCCCCATTGGCTCCTCCATAGAGAAGTTTCAAGTATTTCCGTTCATATGTTCTTCGCGTCGTTTCTGAAAACGGAGGTGGGCGGTGGGCGATGGGGTCGTTAGCACAGTTTTCAGAATTATTGTCAGGCCCCTAGATTGTCACCTTAAAGATGTACTATATAAAACGATAAAATTGTACATGATACACGCCAAAATGTCAATACATCAGCATGTTATTACTAAGCATTCGTTTAGGAAAATTCTATCTCAACACTCATAGGCTAGAGCTGCCTCTCAATTATGCCAGGCAGATAGGTCAATGAGGGCTGTTGTGGTCAGATAGGTCAATAATAAGTCAGTTGGGAGGTGGATATGCATATATATAGGTATCCCCCAAGTCTAACCTACCCCTTCCCCTAACACCAACCCTAACAGGGTGCTGGTCCTTACGCATGTACACTTTGTCCAAGTTATTGTTGTACTCACCAACAATGGGTCCAACGTTGACACCCATTCTGCGCAGGTCAGCTGAGAGAACTTCATCGCTCAGCTGTGTCACATCAATCTGTTCGCCCATGACGTCCCTGGAGGTGGCAGACGCCTTGCTCCTAGAGCTGGTCTTGCTGGATCTTGACGTGGTCTGCTGCTGCTACATGGTTAGATCGATCAGTACAAGACAACTACTCAAACGGATTCAGCAGAATAATAAACTGGGTAGGTTATTTTAATAAACACTAAGCCCAACACAAATGTTAACCTAAACCCTAAAACAACAAATATATGAACAAAAATTAAATGCTACACACTGATGTTAGCCGACCTAAAACCCAACCTTACACACAATGTTGCAAAATAATCCGTATCCGTAGACACTCCTACTGTTAGCTTTTTGACAAAATTCCCTAAATATGCCTTGTAATTTGGAACCAAAATCAAATTCCCTGATTTTATCTTGATTTTCTGGAGAGTTGGCATCCTCATAACGACGTATCTAGAGTGCACGGGCCATTCCAAAAATAAAATAGTTATTTATTTGTTATAATATTTATAATAGTTAAAGTAGTTATCACACTGTTCACTTCGTCTTACACATGGCAGCACAAATACACAATCAAGCACATGCATATTGGTATCTCTTTGTAAGTTCCTGTTTACTTGTTAAAATTACCAGCTTGTACTTGGGTACAGCTTCATTTATACAGAGAAGTCTTACTAAATCCTGTAAAAATGCTACATTCACCATTCATGGTTCATACAGGACTGAAAATTTTTTCAAAGACATTTTATCAGACATTTTATCGGAATTCATACACAGAACAAAACATACCTGGATTAATGTAATAACCCCATTATTAATCACTGCATGTCACCTCTAAAACTTACCTGGATCACATTAATAAACCCTTCTAAACACTGTCACTTCTACAACATACCTTGATTTACTGACTGATTTTAGTGACTTACTGTAAATTGTGATGATCATATCATTTAAACTGTCATCGTGTCTATACGCTTTGTAAGGCTCAATTAACACAATTTTGATTGAGGTTTGCTCCATTATTAGATGGTACAGCAAATTTCTTTTTATTACAGGCAAAAAGATTCTTTTCTAAAATCAAAGGACATTTTCATGAATTCAAGAATTTTTCAAGCACGGAATCAACACTTACTAGTGCAAGTATTTTCAAGGACTGTGCAAACCATGCCATTGCCACGGAGACCAATTTTTGCATGAATTTGTAAGACTTCTTTAGGTAAATGAAGTTGTACCAGGTCATTAGTGTTAGATCTGCACAGCAACTGTACCTAATAAACTATGCCTTGTTGACTATTACAACGATTTATTTTCTGTGAGGCGGGCTTTAATGTTAAGTAAATTCTATTTTAGGTGATCAATTACTAGAACAACTCGCATTGTTACCGCAATAACTTCAACATATATTGCAAAGTTTTCCGCCATTATGCAGCGAGATATGATTTTAGGGGACCCCATCTATGCCATTGACCACAAGAGGCAACTCCCTAAGTTTAAACAAGGACAGAAGCAGACTTGACATAGAAAAGTACTCCTTCTCACAGAGGGTAGTAAACGAATATAATTCCCTCCCTGAGAATGATGTGCAGGCGGTGACCGTGGTCACGTTCGAAAGCAGACCCGATAGATTCTTGGGGGCCACCGACAGGATGTACGAGACCAGATTAGAAGTGATTCGGTGTCCAATCCCAGCGGAAGCTATACACACAACAGAAATGACGGAGCAATTGATCTGAATACAGATGCCTTAAACGATCAATTGCGAGAATTTGGCTCAGAAAAACAAATTATAGCTGAATACTAGTCCACTCGCTGACAGCGAGAAATATCACTGGATTACCCAACATTCGCAAAACACCAATAATGTATGCAGTTATAGCATAGAAAAATTGATTTGAACCACATCAGTAACAGCATAGCATTTTTTCGAGTCACGGACTTGTTCAAAAATCAACAAATGCGCTCGAAACAACACAACATAATTATAAACGAAAGGGGGAAATATCCATTCTCTATTTGTGGTGTGCTAAGTCATTCGCTGCGTAGCGCAACGAGATTTGATCCACTCTCTCGCCGTCTCCGTTATAGTGTCGCGTAAGGATTTTGAAGACTAATATTTATGATGTGCTTACAAACTTACAGCTCTGTTTTGTTACGCTAACTAATGCAGCCTCTGTGTTTTACTAGTCTGGGACCAAAAATATCTCGTGCCGATTTTTGCATTACTGTACCCTTGATTGACCGTCTCGCGCTACAGGCGAGAAAGTGCGAGACATGACACGCGAAAATCAACAAGAAGAATGCAGTAAATTGTAATTGTGTCATGATTTGTCTTTGCACGTGTCAGTTCTAAGACATTTTATTGTTATTTCAAACAATTACTGTTACTCAAGCAACAATGGTAGGCATCATGAGAGTGAGAATAAACACTAAAAAACGCTGAAAACAACTCGCAATGATCGCTTTAATGGCTTGGGTTCAGTATTAACTAAGTTTACACCAAAGACGCTATATACTACAATATATACAAGTATATAGGGCAGCGTGCGAGCTTGGCACTCGCCCGCTCGCCAATGTCGAGTGAAAATAATATCGGGCGAGTCAAAGCTAAAACTGACTCGCCCGTGTTGGCGAGTAAAAATAATTACCTAAAGCTTTAATAAAATATTGGTTCCTTACGTTTTTTTTATCCAAACATTGATGAAAAATAGTTCTAGCGATGTTATCACGCCACATCCATTGTGTACATGCCGTGGTGGATGTCTACCATGCTCTGATTGAGCAGTCGCGATTCAGCTTAGCTAATCATGCCGACCAAAATATTACCTTTGGTTCGGGTCACCCGCCCGACTTCACATTTCGGAGTGAAAAATGTGCGACTGCGGTCACTTTTAGAGGGTTTCAAGAAAAAATATAATTCAAAGATACTGCCTGCCGATCATACATATTCAAATATCCGACTCTTGTCATTTTATTTACCTAAAGAGAGTTCCAAAATATTTTTAACAATGTGAAACAGTCGTATAGAGCCTGGGCCGGCTACTTAAACAGAGCCTGAAGGTCGTATGGCGCGGCGGCCGGCTTTGATGTACGCGATCGATCGCGTACTATATAGTATACGCATGCTATCGTGCTATACGCGCCCGCAGAGCCGTTTACACTTCGGTTACTCGCTCGTTCAAAGCGACGATTAATCGAGCTCCGTTTTTGGAGCGATTCCTAACACTACTAATACTATCCAGGTATTAACATTTTGCAACAATCGAAAAATATCGATTGTTTAGTATACTATCGGCGATAAATATCGTGTTTCTCTTTACCATCGATGCATTGCCATCAAGACAAAAAAATATCAATAGTTATCGATAGTTTAATGCATCGTTACACCCCTAATAAAAATGTATTGAAATGAGATGCCCTACAGAAAGAAAGTTTACTCATTTGAAAATGTTCATGTAGTACTATGTATAGATGTCCATCAAGAGAATACACAATATCCACAGACTGTGACAGAGTATTTTCAGATTTACAATTTTGTCTGTGTCCATGTATTTTATTCTTCCTGCTCTTCTGGATCTGCCAGTCCACAATTTTGGGGATCTAGTGTTTTTGGTTTGGCAGGTCTTGACAAACGAGTCTCATCCTCTCCTTCCCAATCTCTGATTCCAGATGACACCAAGATGACACCATATCAGGTGGTGGGATCCAAATTGGCATTCCTGAATCTTCTGTCCCGAAGAAAGACTTTGTACAATGGTAGCCCTCATTTTTCCCAGACTTGGGACTGGGCTTTTTCCATTCCTTCTGAAGTTTACATTTTTTGTGCTCTGTCTTCTTTGGCTGTCACAAAAACAATGTCATGACTTGCAGCAATGGTACATGCAAGTCATTTGCATCTCGTGGCTCCTGCATTTCAAGCTGTATACCCTATATTTAACTTGTGGAAAAAAAATATATTCCTGCCTACCCATGTTCAGTCTGCGAAATTAACCACTGGCCCGGTATCCGAGGCCAGTAAATTTTCCGTGAGGCCAATGAAACTGTTAAATGAACTAGCCCGATGGGCCAGTGGGAAAAAAATGGAGTAAATGGTCTATTTTATGATATTTCAGCTT